ATCGTGACCCTATTCAGGCTTGTGTAGTTAATACATAACCTCAACGTCTCATCCCCATTTCTTGCAAATGTGACTCCAACACCCCAATGGGACACACTATTTCGGATGAATCCACTGTTCTGCAATTCATTGATATGTTTTATCAGTTTCTCTATCTCAACACGACTCATGCGGTAAGGAGCAACCGAAATAGGCTGGGTATCTGGCTGAATGTCTATGGTGAATTCGACTTCTCTGTCCACTAGTAGTCCAGACAGTTCATCCAAGAACACATCTAGAAAGTCTCGAACTACCTAAATCTCTCAAATACAAATTTCTTTCTTGGATTTACCTAGTTAGAGAAAACAGCCGGGTTAAAACACTTGATAATAAAAAAATTTGTCATGAGGGAACAAATGTTAAAAAATTTTATTAATTTGTAAATGACTCTTCATTAGGAGGGTTGAATACAACTTTTTTATGAAAATAATATACGATGGCGTGATACGTCACTAACCAGTTATTTTAAAATTACATCAAAGTTCCCGTGTCAATTTCTATTAGGTCCACACTCAATTTTCTATCTACTATATCTATGACACAAGCTCTGTATATAACCTCCCCTACTAGTGTCCTACTCCCAGGAGTAGACACAAATAACACAGAATCAAGTCTTTCAGGTAATACATATAATTTTGATGCAAAAATATGTGAAACAAATGAATATGAGGCACCAATATCAATCAAAACATGTGCAAGATGACTACAGGTAGTGTATGTATCTTGTACCACGTTCAGGTTGGCTTCTGTATCTTGCTGAGTGAGGTTGTAAGCCTTCCCTGAATAGGAGATCTAGCCTGATTATGTTTTCTCGGGTATTTCCTTGCATAATGTTGGGCACTATCATATATGCAGAAAGTTTTGTTGAGGTGATAGCAAGGTCAGTCCTCATGATCCTTGCCACAGTGTTGACAGGTCCTACCGTGTCCTGTTGTTGGAATCTGAAGGGGAGCCTGAGTCATCGATCTGGGTCTCTTGTTCTGTTGAGCATGTGCAGTAGGTGCTGGTATGGAGTATGGAGCCGAGGCTTGAGGTTCCTTACTGCTAGAGGGAAAATGCAAATATTCCTCTTCACTAACTGTACCTTGGCCAGAACAGCCGAGTAAGTACTGAGCTCGAACACATACAACTGCTGTTTGATGTCAGGACGGAGACCCCACTCGAACTTTCTTACCTTCCTACCTTCATCCATCCTGCTCTCAGGGAAATACCGATCCAACTCTAGGAACTTTTAAGCATATTTTGATACAATCATGTCCCCCTGGACCAAATGTGCAAACTCCATCTCCTTCAGATGTTGAAGATGTTCTAGAAGGTACTCTGTATGAAAGACCATAAGGAATTATTCTCAAGTGACTGGAACAGGCATGGTGGCCTGCTTGAGTTGCCACAAGCGGTCTGCATCTCCCACCAGCATGTAGGCAGTAAGGATGACTCTCTATTCGGGAATCACCCTAAGAGTCGTGAATGCCTTTTCTGTCTCAGCTAATCAATACTCGACCTCTTCAAATGAGGATCCCCTTCTAAAAGTAGATGAGTTTAGTCTTTTATACCTCTTAATGTAGCTAGGGTCCATCATGGAAGGAACTGGGTCTCGTGGAAGAGGGACTGGATTATGCTGAGGATGGACTGGATGGCTCTACATTGGTACTAGATGATACGGTAGAGGCATCGAATTGTACTGTAGTGGTGCCGGGTGATACGGTTGTAGAATCGAGTCATACTTTGGTGGTGCCAGGTGATACTGTGGCTGGGGCACCAGATCATACTGTGGTGGTGCCAAGTGGTACTGTGGAGGAGCAATGTCGTACCGGGATGGCTCAAGATCCTCTCGCTGTAGGAGTGGCTCAACCTGTGGCAGCAAAGGAGGGTCAGGTAGCTCCCTCATTTCCTCTCGGATCTGCTGGGCAGCGATGAGTCTCTCCAGCATCTCAAATAACTGGTCAACATCCTCTCGAAGCGAATCCTCCCGGGCTGCTCGGTTTAGTAGGGGTCTTTACACATATTATAATTTTATATGCAATTGGTTGGAACAACAGTTTTCTTTTTTATCAACCTACTAGTATCCATGGAAGTCCATAGGGATATCCCCACTACGCGTGAACCCTTTCCTTTAACATTTTCAATTAACGGAACGTCCCCATGCCCCATCCGATATGAGGGTCAAATTACCAAATTTCGATACCCCATCCAGTATGAGAGTGAAACGGACTGTCCCTATACCCCGTCCGGTATGAGGGTAAAATGGACTATCCCCATACCCTGTCTGGTATGAACACCAAATTACCAAATCTCGATACCCCGTCTGGTATGAGGCAACTTTCACGGTAGGATTTCCTATGTATCCAGTCTGTCTACCATCTCTCAGGATATCCATTAAGGTTGTCATCTCATCAATTCACTAAATCAAATAATTTTTTATTTACCTTTAATTTTTAGTTTTTCAATTCAACTGTGATCCCATAAAACAAACAAAACATGCATCAAAGGAATACAATCGCATCTCAATTTTCCAATTCAACTGTAATCCCATAAGTTAAGCAATACATGCATTCAAACTATAAAATCAATCAATCAGGTATTATCATGCATTTAAACTGTAAAATCAATCAACTGGACTAACAGTGAATAACTTTCAGTTCTGACTCCATTAGTAATCTGTAATTAATTATGAATATTTTTTAAATTACACAAAATACTGTATTATTATTATTAATTAGACTTCAATTCCATAACAGAGAACAAGGTGAAGGATTCTTACTCAAATTGATATTTGAAATGCTAAACTTTTGACTGCGCCTACTGGCGGTCCCCAAGTTCCTTAAATTTTTTTTCTGGGATTAAAATGCGCTTCAAGTACCTAAAAATATCCTAAAAAATCTAAAATCAGCGTTAGGAATCCTTTTTGGCCAATTTCAAAACTCTGGCACGACGGCTCCGCCGTGCTCCGGCGATGGTGGTTTGGCTCGAGTCGGTTGTTTTCGGCCGAATTTGGCTGGTTTTGTACCAATTCCTGCGAGAAAACACGTTAAGGGGTCTCGGTTGGTCGGAAAAAGTAAAAAACTGAAACTTACCTGCGGCAGGGTTCTCCAGTGCGACGTCTCTGTCGGCTCACCTTCACGATTGGGTGTTTTGCTTCAGTCAACCTGTAGAGAAAGAAACAATGATTACAATGGTGGATGAATTACGCATAATGGGAATCAGGAAAGGTCTCATCGGAAGCCTTTTTTGTATTTTTCCACAGCAACCGTCATGCTTTACCAGCAGTTTTGGGTCAATCCACCGATCATTTTACTCTAATTTGGTTATGGAGGTGTTTAAAATCAAATTTCAAGCAAATGAGAAATTTTTTTACCTCTTTTGGCAGTCGTAAGTGACTCCGGCGCGACGGCAGGCGACAGGCAGCTTCCTTCCTAGTGGCTGGCTCTTCTTCTCCGACGGGGGTGTCTGGGGGCTAGGGTTAGAGTTTGGTGTGAAGAGAGTTATTTATATTCGTTCCCTTTTAATATGGACCGTCCATCGCGTTTGATCTGAATCATCCGATCGTGATTAAATAAAGAGTGAATCTAGACCGTCTATCGCGATTTGATCTGGACCGTCTGATCGCATTTAAATGGGAAGTGGATGTAGACCTTTCGTCGCATTTAATCGTGGTCGTCCGATCGCGTCTAATGAGCGAACGGATCTGGACCGTCCGTGCACACGGGAACAAATTTGGACCGTCCGATTGCGGGCATGCAGATCGCCAGCGTGGCCTCCCGCGTGGCACCGTATCAGCGCCCCTTGCCACGCAGCACGCTCCGGTTCGTCGGAGCTGCTGACTAGGCGTCCTACGTGATACAATTTTCCTAAATTGCGTTTTGATTTTCAGTTTTAAATTTTTCTTTCAAGAATACTCCGAGAACCTAAATTTTCACTTATTTTTTCTCAAAATTGTTTTCAATTTCATCATCTATTTAATTTTCTTCATTTTTACATTAAACAAGAATTAAAAAATTAAAAAATTATATTTATTCATTAATTTTAATTACAATTAAAATTAATTAGGGCATTACATATGGTATAATTATATATTTAGTCAAATTACTTATTTTATCCCTATATGTAATAATAAATAAAAAATAAAAAGATGAAAAATATAATAATTAAATATATTATATATATGTACATGTATAATTAAATACACATATATAAGTGCATATATAATTAAATAAAATGATAGTATAAATATAAATAACAAAAAATAGTAAAATATAAATAAAAAACTATCATCAAAATCATATAAAACTACCGATTCAATTATTTGAAAAAATAAAAAAAATAGTAGTTTTGACAACCATGGAACAACCATAAAATACTTATATTATGTATCTGAAAAAGTAAACAAACAAAATAAAACTATGAAATTATTATATCATACATTAATAAATTATCATTTAAATATATTATAAAAATATTTTATATCATTATTAGTTAGTATGTCTCATAATATACATATATATATTACAAAAATATTTTTTACCTTGACCTTGTTAAAATGAATTATAGTTAAAATAAATAAAATTTTGCTATTCATATGATTAAATTTTTTATAATACTGGATACAAATTTAAAATTTTAACAAATTGAAGTGACACAGGAAAAATATATATATATGAAAGCTTAAATAATATATTACATGAATTAAAGGTCATGGAATTAAAATATAAAATAAAAAGCTCATAGATTAAAAAGACATATTTAAGTCCATATATTTATCATACCACAAATTTTCTATCTAGTTTTTTAATGAAAATTTTATATATTTAAAAAGATGATTTTGTATAAATATTAACTATTCCAAACAATATTTAAATTATTAATTAAATAGAATTAGTACCCCGAGAAGCAACAGACGTACAATTAAATAAAATTATAAGTAAAAATTATGGCTAAAATATCATGATTCATTATGCACACGGTACAGCTCCACGTACGGAGTATGACGAAGAAGAGAGCTGGGAGCGCGCGAAACATCAGGAATGGTCCATGGCATCTGTTGACGAGTTTGGCTAGAGGCATGAGATAGGTTTTGCAAGCGATGGCTTCGGGATGAGCATCTGGGATTGAGGAAGACTGAAAGTACGGCTGGGATTGCAAGCATTGGGCCTATAAAGGATCTCCAATGGTTTTTAGACGGGTCAGATTGAGAAAATCGGATAAACACGATTTTTAAATTATATTAAGAAGATAAGCACTCCATTACTCCGCTAATCCAGTTTTAGAAGTTATTTTTCTATTTTATTTCTTTCCTGTAAATCAGCTCTATATAATCTTATAAGCATTGTGAATTCACGGCTGTTTTAGAAGTCTACTTCCATTGTCTCTCTCACGCTTTCTAGGTTTGCCGAGTGAGTTTTTTTGGTTTTATCAATACTTTATCTTCTTCTTCTTTCTTTTTACTTACTTTCTCTGAGTTTTGGGGTTTCCTTAATGGTGTTATGAGCCAATGATTCATTTCCGGGACTTCGTTAATATGCAATATATGTGTTTGATGATTGATGCTTAAGGTTGATGATCGTTTGTTCATCTCATCGTGTATGTTGCAGAGGTGTTACGAATGAGATGCGAAACATGAAGACGGAAGGAGTTTTGTTGTTTGTTCTCTGTTTAAGTGCCTTCTCCCTTTTAGTGGTAAAGCAGCTCACCTTTATTTATTCTGATAAATAATTGTTCACTGACCACGTCTCTTTTGCTAATCAATAATTGTTTTGTTGCAGCTTGCTGCTCCACCAACATGTCCTTCCGATTTCGCGGGGCAATGTGGTGCATCAGATGAATGGGAAGGGGAATTCTTCCCTGGAGTTTCCAAGATTAAATATGAGGTAAATTAGGCTATTTTGAATGACAATTTTCTTTCTTCCTGGTGCAAAATGTGGTAAAGTTGTTAATTTTGATTTAAATTTTATAAACCAATGGAGCAAAACAAGATCTTTTTGTGAAAACTCTGTAAGTGTTTTTTTCTCTTCGGTTCTATTCGTTTTACACAACAGTGCCTGTAAGGAGGTATTGCCTTAAGGCAGTAGATCCTATTACTTTTCGGCCATATTTATTGTAAATGGAGATTGTTTTTGTTTTCTTTTTCCATTTTTGTACGATCATGTATTCTTAAGTATGTAAGAAAGTCTCCTTAATTTCTAATTTAATTCAGGGTCCTGCTAGCAAGAATCCACTTGCATTCAAATGGTACAATGCGGACGAGGAGATTCTTGGGAAGAAAATGAAGGTTGGTTAAATTCTTTCTTCAGTATAGAATTTATCGTGTGCAAGTTGGTGACATTAACTTATGTGTCTTTGGACGGCCACAGGATTGGTTTAGATTCAGTATTGCATTTTGGCACACATTCCGTGGCAATGGAGGTGATCCGTTTGGTTCACCTACAAAGTTTTGGCCATGGGAAGATGGTACCAATTCATTGTCTATGGCCAAAAGAAGAAGTAAGCTTGATAAATAAGATACACAATGTCCTCCCATTTGTTCTTAATATTAATTTATGAAAAATTCTAATATCTTTCTGTTTTGATGGAAACAACAGTGAGAGCCAACTTTGAGTTCCTAGAGAAGCTTGGAGTTGATTTGTGGTGTTTCCATGACCGGGACATAGCTCCAGATGGCAAAACTCTTGAGGTAAGCAGTCTTACAAGGTTACAAAATTCACTTGGTTGGGTTTAGTTAGCATGCAAACTAAAATGGGGTTCTTTTTGGCACTTAAGACTGTCTAAAAGCAAACCTCTTAATTGAGAAGCTGCCACCAAATGCCCCCTAGTTTGTGCCCAATGGCCCTAATTTTTCTTCCGCCATCTTTTTGCCTGCTGAATCAGTTCCATGCTTGTTGCCTACTTGTTGCAGGAAACAAACAAGAATCTGGATGAAGTGGTTGCCCTTGCCAAAGAGCTTCAGGTAACTTTTTTTTGTATTAATGCTCAACAGTTAGAATATGTTTAAAATCTACATGATGACCTTTTGTTTTCATTTTCTTGCTGGTATCCCCTTAGGCTCAGATAAATCACATTGCAAAGTCTAAATAATTTCCTAAAGTGAGAAAGCAATGACATGGCCTCCACATTTACTTGCAGGTTATTGTTTAAAAAAGAATATCCTAATGAATATTATTGGCTAAATGAGTGATTTAGTATAGGTTATAGTCCAACCTCAATAGTCCACACATTGGTTTGACAAAACAGCAAACAATTTGTCATGTCTTGAACTTCTCGTTTACAAGGAACTCCCATCCCAAGGATAAAGATGGACCATACTCATTTTTGAAGGAAGTCCATAATATCTTTTTGAAGTGATGTTATTTTGTTATCTGCATTTGGCATTGTTGTCTTGGCAAACAAAACATGGGTGGTTAGACATGAAGCTACTCATGTCCAAAGGGACTCCCTGACACTATGAGCACAATATGCATGGATGTTACATTCAAGTTCAGTATCATGTTTGGAAGAGTCTTACAGTCATTTCAGTTCTCACTTCCAGTAAGAGCTATCGGGGTGTACTATACTTCCTCACATATTACCTTTATGTCCATACAGGGAACCAACATCCATCCCTTATGGGGAACGGCTCAGTTATTTTTGCATCCTCGTTACATGCATGGGGGTGCAACTAGGTACTGTATTAATTTCTTTGATTAAATGCAAGTAATCCTGTTGTGGTTTACTGTGTTAATTTCTTTTGGCATTTGACATCAGCCCTGAAGTAGCTGTATATGCGTATGCTGCAGCTCAAGTGAAGAAAGCTATAGAGGTGGGTTACTGTGTGCCATTAATCTTAGGAAGAAAATGAATAGTGTGTGCTTATGGTTGTTGTTTCCATTCATATTATCTACCGTTCTCATTGATATTCTCTTGTGACAGGTGACACATTATTTAGGAGGTGAAAATTATGTGTTTTGGGGCGGTCGTGAGGGTTATCAGTCTCTATTGAACACAGATATGGGAAGAGAACTTGACCATTTGGTATGTTCAACATAATCACTTGTATAATCTGGTTTATACAATTAATAAATTCTTGAGTTTATAATCCTTTGTTATTTATGTGCAGGCAAGGTTTCTTGAGGGTGCTGTTGCTTACAAGAAGAAGATTGGATTCAACGGTATCTTGTTTTCATTGTTTACTCGTTTCTCATTGAATGTCTTTGTTAATTTTTCCTAGCCAATTTAATTTTTAACATTGAGAAGATCTTAATGGCAAGTATTTCTACTTTTTTTCCAGGGACCTTTTTGATTGAACCCAAGCCTCAGGAACCTACCAAGCACCAGTATGAATTTCAGTCAAGTTTTTGAATTATCATTGTGGGTTTACAATGCCTTCAAATTCTTACTTGTGAACAATTTTTCAGGTATGATTGGGATGCTGCAACATCAGCTAACTTTTTGAGAAAGTATGGCCTTATAGGTGAGAAATCATAATTTCTCTTATCGTGTTTGACTTATCTTGGCTGTTCGTTTTTCTTTACACTTATAGAGTACAATCAGATGTAAAAACACTTGTCTTTCTTGTTCAAAATTTATTAATTATTTCTTATATCTGTGCTTAATTTACCTAAGCTACCTCCAACTGTGACTTCACTTGCATATCTACTCTTCGAAATTAGCTTATCATTATTTGTTCCATACACACGAATCCTTTGTTGGTGTTTTGTTCAAGTGGATAAGATTTCGACTATGCCTGTACAACTGCTTAGTACTGTTGAAATATTGGATTAGAATTGACAGCCTTGCAGTATAAGGTGAATACACCTTTTCAGCAGTTATCTGCAATGGATCCTTAATAGCATTAGCAATTCAGTGAATTTTAAAGAAATTCCACATGTGTTATGGTTCCTTATGGACCCTGTTATATGTTTGTTCTAATCCTTTCCCACATTTTGTGCTTCAGGAGAATTCAAACTTAACATTGAATGCAACCACGCCACTCTATCTGGTCACACGTATGAAATATCCTTGAATCTTAAGCACTTTGTTTTTTTTTTTTTTTTTCTTTTTTTGCTTGTTCAAGGCTTGAAGCAAAAATCCTTCAAGAAACTAATGTGTTGCTTGTTCCAACCAAACTTCTGTTCCTTCTTTGCAGATGCCATCATGAGCTTGAAACTGCAAGATTGAATGGTTTACTGGGAAATATTGATGCAAACAGCGGTGATGCTCAGACTGGTATTGAAAAGTTACAAGGCTTGAACTTTTGAAAAAATTAGCTTGCTCTAGCTCTGTTTAAATCTTGGTATGAAGCTATATCGAAATTCCAAGTTTTAATATATAGATGTCTCGTCATTACTGCAGGTTGGGATACAGATCAGTTTCTAACAGATATTGGAGAGGCAACTATGATTATGCTGAGTGTGATTAAAAACGTGAGTAGAACTTTATTTTTATTTTAAAATTGTAATAATGTCCAATTGCACGTGGATTTCTTAAGGTGGCCAAAATTTTGTCCTTTGCAGGGTGGACTTGCACCAGGAGGCTTCAACTTTGATGCTAAACTGTCAGAATTTTTCTTTTCTTAGTGATATCATATTTTCTTCTTTTCTTCGACTTTCTTATTTTTTATAAACATTTAATTAACCTTATTAACATCTATGATATTTCAGGCGGAGAGAGAGCACAGATGTTGAGGATTTATTCATTTCTCACATTATTGGAATGGATACAATGGCCCGTGGATTACGAAATGCTGCGAAGCTGATTGAGGTTAAGTACTAATATATTTGAAAATTTCAGCAACCATTTAAATTTTACATGATAGCTTTATAGTCACTTCTCATGATATTGATATTAAATCGATTGGAAAATTGAAGGATGGATCCTTGGCTGAGCTTGTTCGCAAGAGATATAGCAGTTGGGATACAGAACTTGGGGCAGAAATTGAAGTAATATATTTTCATTTCAAATAAAGTTTATTTTGCTTAATATTTTAGTTACATTCTTCTGCCAATTTAACTCGTCTGACATTTCAACAGGCTGGTAAGGCAGACTATGACATGCTTGAGAAGAAAGTAATGGAATGGGGTGAACCCAAAGTTCCTTCTGCCAAACAGGTAATATATCAAAGTTCCTCAAGCATCTCCATCACTTCCCTTTATCAGTTCATTGAGAACTTACCAGGATACATTTTTTTCCCCTTTTTCCATATTTTTGCAACTTAAAACAGTCAGCAAGTGTGACATGAATTGAAACTTGATGTTGCAGGAACTTGCAGAGATGATTTTCCAATCTGCATTATAGATGCCGGTATCTAGCTCCAGATTCAAGGTTCTGAAGCACGCAGCATTCTGAATATTTTAGATGTTCTACTAATAATAATAATAGATACAAGTGGTTATAGGTTCAAATTAGGCTAATATTTGTTGGCATTTTTTACCTTCAAGTACAATTGGCTAGACTAGTTGAGTTTGGTTTCTTCCACATTGAACTATTATGTTGGAATCTTTTCGTTATATGATAAAACAGCAAACGATTTTGGTATCCCTCGTTGATCGAAGACCATACATTATTTTCGAGTTCTTCTTTCCAACACATTGAAATATTTTGATGTACAACAGTAGTATTTTTAACTTAGAAGGTTCAATAAATGTAACAAGTGGAAGATAAATCTAAATGAAAAACTTTCAAGTAATTTACTTCAATAAAAAAGTTTTATTAATGTCCGTTCGATTATTAATTTTTAGCAGCTTAATAAATTATTATCACATCAATAAAAACATTAATTAATATAAATTATGATACCTTTAAAATATATTATTATCTAAATATGATTTTTCGTTTATATTTTAATCTTTGCCTTTTAAGAATACCTACTATTCAACATTTTAAAACTTTAGTTTAGTTGTTTTTTTATTTTATTCTATTAAAGTTAACATTGTTAAATTTATTACCATGATATGCAATTAAATTTTTGTATTATGTCACGAGCATATAACAACATTAGCTAATTATTCTACGTATTAAATTAGGAATAAAGTGTTTGATTAAAATATATGTTAACATTAAAACTATTAAAAAGGTATGAAAATAGAATAAGGCAAAGTAAAATAATTATAGATATTAAAATAAAATAACATAAAATAGATAGAAAAGCCAATGTAATTTATATATAAATACATAATATTATATATTATATATAATTTTTTTTGGTATGTATATTATAATACAACATTATATATAATATGTATGTACATATACATATATATATATATATATCATCATATATTTGTGTATATAATATATATAATATTTATTAGATAATTAATTGAAAATTTGGATTTGAAACTTTATTTGTATAATAATATTAACAAAAAAATTAATTAAATTTTGGTTGCAAATTACCTTTTAAATACATAAAGTGTACCTTAAAAACTGCAGTCAAATATCTACTTAACAGAGAATTTAAATAAACACAAAAACTATAACATCCACTTAATAGACAATTTCAGTAAATATTATAATATTTGAGAATAAGTCGAATAATTCTGACTTGATTTACAAAGCTTGAAGTTTTTTTTTATTAATTAAATAAAATTTGCATCAAACAATAGCCCAAATTGAAAAAATTTCATCAAAATTAGGTGATTTATTTTTCTTATTTTAATTAAATAAAATCTGTACCAAACAAAACCTTACGAAATGGACGAGAATTACATCAATAGTTAGACAATTAATCTGAATATTGAATTAATAAAATATTTTTTTTTCTTTCAAGAATATAACAGATTGTTGAATCGAGATAATTCAATTTAGTGTATTTATTTCATAAACTTAAGTTTTCTATTTAATTATAAGATAAATTTAACTACAATTTACAATCTATTCAAATTAAGCTTATACTATTGGTTTACATCATCTAGATATAAGATAGAAATTAAAATTATAATTAGATAATATTAATGAACTTTAAATTATTATATTAATAAAAATAACTGCTTATTTAGATTAAAGTTTATATTAACTCTCTAGCTTGAATTTTTATTAAAATCAGAATATTTAATTAAAACATATATTGAAATTGATTAGGAATTTTATGATAACTAATTTAGTTTAAAGTTAAAACTGTGTAAATTAATGAATTAAATTTTTTTATTAAAATCAGAATATAAAAATCTAGTTTAGAATTATAAGACCGTAGAGAATCTCATCCCAGCGAACATTATTTCTTCGTCTACCAGGTACTTTTACCTCTGTATCTCAGATTTGGATTTTCTGTCCTCATCGGAGAAAATTCCCGTCTCAATATCCCGTTATAAAGCTTTGTTGTGACCTCCGGCCCAAAATTTTTTTGATTTATCAATTTGGACCTCAAACTGCTACATCTATTGCAGGCAGGGCCTTCTCCTTGTCTCTTTAGGTGCGCCACTCCTGCGCACAACGTACAGACGTGTATATTCGTCCTATATATGCATTTTATAACATTTCTTATATATAAACTCAATACGCGATGCCGTGGGTTTTACAGGGAGGAACAGGGTGCTGCTTTGCCGGATCCGATCTAGGTTCTCTGTTCCGACCCGCGAGATTTCTCTGGGTCTGATTGCGTTCATGCATTAAAATTTTCTGTTTCTTTGTTTCGAGGGAGTCATAAGAATGGGTATATTGTTTACGCGAATGTTCTCATCGCTCTTTGGCAACAAAGAAGCTCGGATCCTCGTTCTCGGGCTTGACAATGCGGGGAAAACCACGATATTGTGTACGGTCTTCTAATTCTAAGCAGTAACCTCTTGTTGTTTTCGGTGTTTTTGTTGACAATTTGTGAGTTTGGTTTGATTTGCCGCAGATCGTCTGCAGATGGGTGAAGTTGTCTCCACAATTCCAAGTTGGTCTTCTTTCTACTTACGTTTTATCTTCATGATTTATGTTCTTACCTTTTAAATTTACCCTTTAGTTTCTAAGTTAATTCAGCAAGATCATGAAATGATATAACCCATTTATAAATGCTGTTTTGCCTAGTGTATATGCTTAAGAATCTAGAAAAAGCTTGGTCAAGAACTGAAATTGTAATTTGTGTTTTCTTTTTTTAAATTTCTCTTGTTGTCAGACTGTGTGCAGGTTTCACCATTCTGCATGTTAGATTTGTTATTGATTCATTTTCTTTTTTATTTTTTTGAATGATGTAGCTATCGGGTTTAATGTTGAGACGGTGCAGTATAATAATATCAAATTCCAAGTCTGGGATCTTGGTATGTAAAATCTCTTTCCATCCATCTGCAGCTCCAATCTAAGCAGCAACTTAAATTTTCTAACTGTTGGCTGTTAAGCATTATAAAGACTGTACAGAGGCATGAGACAGTGGATCTCTCTGTGATAAAAAATAAACAAGAAAATGTATGATCTTGTATGGAACATCAGTTTTGACCCACACAAATTTGCAGGCAAATTAATGACTATTAATCAAATTCATCGTTCTCAGATTCAAATCAAAATTATCAGCTCAATTTGCTATAACCATAATTTTAATTTGCTTGGAGGGTTAGCAGTATAGTACATCAATAGTTAAGATTAAATTAAGTTATTTTCCTTGGTGTCCAATTCAGGTAAGGGATACTCGATAAATTGTAATTTATTTCTGTGAGCTGTTTTAGATTATGAGGATTCAACTAAATGCAATTCATGCATGGTCTTTGTGGTCTTGTTGCCGTTTTATCAGCTTTGGCATTTACACCAATCGACATAGGATAGATCAAGGATAGTTTGTCAACATAGTAAGCAGGGTCAAACCTAGACATCATTTTTTTTTTTAAATAGAAAGTATGGTATGATTCATAAATTGACAAGCGCCAAGAGGTTGCCAACCTATGGACAAAATAAACCTAGACATCACACCTAGAGTTTCTTAAGGTATTATATCTAAGAATTTGGAATTTAGGGTTTTGTGGGTTAAAGTAGGCATCTCATTAGAATTCCTAAATCATAGGTCAATTTTGATGGCACTTTGACTGGATAGGCTTTGACAAAGCTGTGTGATACTTTTGGTGTGAAATGGTTTTCCCCTTGGTTGATGGTTTCATCTCATCCTCCTATCATGGTTGAAGGTCCTTCAGCTGGGTAATGGATATTGTGATTGGAGAGAAATGCTAGGCCCTTTTAATCCTAATTTGATTAGACTAGAATCTCTAATATAATCTTATGAATGTTGTTACAGTAGATGACATATTTGAAAGAAATACTTTTCCTATCTTTTTAAAAAACTAACTGAACCTCCTCTGCATAATTATTATTCCATTTTCTTATTTACAAGATCACATTTGTATCTGCTTTTGGCCTCATGGAAATTTGGTTATTTCTTATTGCAGGTGGACAGACAAGTATTAGGTAAGTTTCTGGGCTTGACTGTTTTCGTTTAGTTTTCTTTTAACATAATGTGCAATTTAGTTTTTATAGAAGTAATTCTGTGGCTTGTGGTAGCTGCTTTTTATTTGGTCACTGAGCTATTCTTCTATTGCCTTGTGATCTGAATTGGGGTTATAAAATGTTTAGTGGACCAATTTGCTAAATAATTTTCAATACAATACTCACACATTTATTTAAAAAAAAAAAACGTTTGCTAAATAATTGACTCATCAGTTATGTGCTTGCTGCTAGAACAGGTGTGAGATGTTCTCCATGGTGGTTCATTTGTGGATGGGCAGTTTGATGAATGGAATAAACATTCTGTTTTATTTATTACTAAGTTTTGCTGACAGAAAAAGGGGCATTATAGTCCATGTTGCCAAGATTCGTGATACTATTCCTTATGTACCGTATATGAAAATCCTTGGGTTAAAAGATTGATGACTTCCAATGAGTAAACTACATGCTCATGTTTGTTAAGGGGAGAGCCTTCTCTTTTTGGCATCTGGCGTTCTGTATTTGTTACAAAATTATTAGGGAGTCTTCAGATTTGGATAGTAACATTTTGATGCCAAACATATCTGATGTATAAGAGTTTAATATGGGGCCAAGTACTGCATTTCTTTATTTCTTTTTTCAAAAAGGATTGCTACTCCTGTACAAATGAGTAGATGTATATAAGATTACAACTCAAAAGATCTATGAGATCCCTTTTTGCTTGGGAGGCTTGCTGGGAGAAGATTTTAACAATTGATAAGTTGAAAATTAAGGGTTGTGTCTTGGTGAATGGTTGCTATTGCTGTTTGAAGGCAGAGGAAACATGCAATCACCTTTTATTGTGGTGTCCCACTGCATACAGCTTGTGGAATTATGTGTACAGTCTTTTGGGTATTGATTGGGTTGTTGCAGGGTCGGTGGGAGGAGAGATTTGGGCTTGGGATGGTTTAAATGTAAAAAACAAGTTAGCAAATGTTATCCCTTTGACAGTTTTTTGGGCTATTTGGAAAGAAAGGAATAGTAAAGTTTTTGATAGTGAAGAAAATACCATTATTAAGCTAAAAGATAGATGAATTCATTATTTTGGTTCTATATTGTTAGATCATAACATTATTAGTGATGTGAATTTTGGGAATGTTGTTGCTACACTAACAATACTGTAAATTTTTTGTACATGGGCAGTACCTCCGTTTTGTGACCTAGTGAATATACAATTTACACTTTTTATTTAAAAAAAAAAAAAGATTTACGTGATCCCTAAGTCACAAAAATCATAGAAGGGTGTCAACTAAATCATAAGTAAGCGAGTTTAGCCAATTGTTAATTATTCTATGGAAAGGGGATTCTAAACCCTTGAAATCTCTCTTGTTTCTTTCCCTCCTAATAACCCCAAAAAAGGAGCAAAAATGCCACATTTATCGTTTGCTGATATGCCACTACATATTCTGCATTCTTTAATGTTCATGTTTCCCTTTGTGCTTGTTCAGAAATCGGAGGAGGCTCCTTTCTTATATTTTTGTTATACTTCAAAATGTGCTCTTTCCCTTTTGGCCTGAGTACCAGTTTTACTGTTTGTTAATGTTTTATCAATCAATTCGTGAAATGCAAAAAGTAACCATTTGTCTCTTTTTGTCCTTTGCTTCAGGCCATACTGGAGATGCTATTTTCCAAATACCCAAGCTATAATCTATGTTGTTGATTCTAGTGACACTGACAGATTGGCCATTGCTAAAGATGAATTTCATGCAATCCTTGAGGTACGCATGTCGTGGTCATGGACATGTGATAAGTCTGCACTTAGAAGTTAATTTATTTGTTTTTTCCTATGGAAAGCCTTCCAGTTTTGCAATATGTCCATCATACGTAATGGATTTTCAGTGGCTGTTAATATGAATTTTTTTAAAGCAGTGATCTTAATGTAAATGGTATTCTGGAGGTTTTGAAAGAAATATTTTGTGATGTTTGTACTTAGTAGAATGAGAACCTTGCTTTATCGAGGTAGCTTGTTGTTTTGTAATACATCGGTGTCTTTCAGTACTGCATTTTCTTTCTGAAATTGAGAGATGACAAAGATCTTTTTCCTTTGAAAACACTTGATCGAAAACCTAATGGAGCTTCTTCTGATCTTCTTTCTTAAGCTATTACAAATTACAAATATCCTTGCTTCTTTTGTTTCTCTTCTATTAACAGTAACAGTAAAATTCAGTCTCTTATTACTCTGTTTTGGGCTCTCTTTATTCAGGAGGAAGAGTTAAGAGGTGCAGTTGCTCTAATTTTTGCAAACAAGCAGGTAAGGTCTTTCTATTTCTTAAGATTTGCAAGGCAAGCAAAGCACCTGATATCTAATTGAATTATAACATCTACAAGAGTGAGAGTGCCATAACAATCTGTTATGGTCCGTGGTCAGTGATCTATTTATGGGTTTAGTTCCTGGATAATCCAGTAGGGGGTTTAGATAGCTTGGAAGCTTTTCTTCCTCCCTTATCTACTTTAATAGTGGGTTAAGAGCTCATCAGAGAGAACCCTAGGAAATTCTGATGGATAAAATTCTGTTTACTTGATTTCATTTCTCAATAGCGTTCATATCACCAGTTACAACCGGGAAGAGTTACCATGTACATAAACTGGTAGTATAGGAATAATTACTAGAATAAGAACTGTTACCAGACTTACAGACAGAAAAAATAATTACTAGCATAAAACTAGAACAACTAGAAGAACAAAATAAAACTGAAATACAACAGATTAGACACTGATCTCTTTTCATTCTGTCAAACTTCTTCTTCCCATGACTGTAGTGTTCTTAGACTTGACCAGTAAATGGGACCACCTTGTTTATTCCAATTTATCACTTTCCGGATTAGTTTGCTGTTTTAAGACTTCAATCCTCCCTTCAACAAGGTGCTCGTCCTTAAGTTCCAAAGATGGATAGCAAGTTGCCATTAATGAGATAGGCTCTCAAGAAGCATCAGCTGGTGAAAACCCTCCAAATGCACTAAGACATCCGTCTGACCTTTATGGATGCAATAGTCCAAAGTTGCCAAAAGGAGTAGGATCAACTTGGCGTTATTTGGCTAAAGGGAAAAAAGGAGTGCCAGGAGGTGGACCAACAAACTTCTTCAAGCATGAGAGATGAAAGATCAGTGAAGAATAACAGAGCATCAGAGGAACTCCAAAATCAAAGCCTGGTTGGTTTGGATTTTCATAGCAAGTTGCTGTGATTCTGGAGATGTGGCAACTTTTTCTCTGCTAACAGAAAAAAGATCAGCTGTAGCATGGAGATAACAGTCAACAAGTTTGAGGTTCATCATGTGATAACATCACAGACAACATCGTCCCTTCCAGTTCCGTGCTTTGACATTGTAGAAAAATTAAAGCAAGCAATTTACCCACCCAATGCTGTTGAGGGGCAGTCAAAACATGCTGCTCAAGAAGGAACTTGAAGCTGTAGCAATCAGTGCTCACTACAAAACTACACCCAAGGATAAGGCCTCCAGTGGGAAATTGCATTGACCAACCTGATTAAAATTTTTATAAGCTGGCAAACTGTGGTGGCAAGCTGCAAAAGAGAGACTGAAATTTTTAAAACCGCGCCACTGCCAAGTATGAAGCATCACATTCAATAATAAAAATTAAGAGAATATGGAAGAGCCAAAATAGGAGTGTGTGAGTCATAGCTTGTTTAAGGTCTTCAAAAGCTTTGGAAGACTATTTTGACCGGGTACAAGGAAGTTTTTGCAACATGATGGTAAGAGGGGCAGCAATAACACCATAGTCTTGGACAAACTTGCGGTAATATCTGGTCGGCCCCAAAAATCTGTGCACTATAGAAGGCTAGCCCACTGCAACATGGCTGAAAGCTATAATCAGTTAAGAACCCTGTGGCTGAAATCATTTGTCCAGGAGACCTGGGATGGGCATATAAACATTTACTACCACTGTTGTTAGAATCATAAAATTCAGAACTGAACCATATGATTCGATTGGATTCACTTTCGAAACAGTTAAAATCTTTGGGTGAACTGCAATTTGATAAAAGTTATATGCAAATCATTAGAATTGATTGTAAGTCCAATAAACAAATTGAATAATGCGGTTTACTTTTTTCTAGTTAAAAAAGAGTCTAAAACATATTTAATCCAATCTATTATATGGTAAAGTAACTTCGATCTCACATCAATGTTGTGCGACTTTGGTGTGGGTTCAAATGAGTTTGGACTCTTTTACATTAATAACTAGCTTTTTAGGTTTAGTTTTCCTAAGCTCATAATGTTGGTATCAGAATCACCACTTCCCTGAGTTGCAATCGTATGCACAGGTGGTAGCATTGGAATTGCATTGTTCGCCCAAGGCTAGTTAAAGAGAGGTAAAGCAACGCCAGTCTGTGTGGGCACTGAGACTGCGAAGCGTGGTGGATTGTTATGTGGTAAAGCAATTTGGATCCTGCATAAAAGGCATGCGAATTTGATGTGGGGTTTATGTGAGTCTGGGCTCTTCAATCGTAATAACTAGCTTTTAGGATGTTGTTATCCTAAACTCAACACACAGTACGGATCAATGCGAATTTGATGTGGGGTTTATGTGAGTTGGGCTTTTCAATCTTAATAACTAGCTTTTAGGATGTTGTTATCCTAAACTCATAACATGATCCAATTGGATTTAGATTTGATCTGGTAAGTTCTCGAATTCAGAAGAATTAGGATCTGGATCCACAATTTAAATCTTGATATAACAACTCTGCCATTTAAGACTTTTTAAGAAAAGGACTGTTGCTGCAGGAGGAAGATTTGACTGGTGCATGTGTTCGGTCTTGAACCTGCTATACCTAAGAATAGAATCAAATAAATACAAATTTGCAAAGATACCATTGGAACACAACATTCATTTAAAGCCTGGAAAGTAGAGGAAGTATTTGACACCAAAAGGCACAACCGGAATTCATAGTGCTCTTATGTTTGAAATGTGAACATTTTGCTATCTCCACCGTGGTACAACCGGATTTGATGGTAACTTGAATGTACGTCCGACTTGATAAAAAATTGAGCTCCATGAAGTTCTTCCTACAATTTATCAATCATGGGAATGAGAAATTTATCCTTCATTTTTTCTTTTTCTTTAAGTACTATGCGACCCACCCAAAATCTCCAAGATCCAACTCTTGTTAATCAAGAGGGCTGGAGATGAATGAGGAGTGTGATGGTTGGATTACCCTTCTCTAACATCTCCTTAAACTAGCACTTGATTTCTTCTTTTTGGAGATGTGGGCAACAATGAGGGCGGATAACAACTGGTCCAGAACTCTCTTCCAATGATCATGCAATTGTGGTGGAAGAAGTTCATGGGTTGACAGAAAATAACATTTTAAGCAGCCAACAGACATGGAAGCACTAAGTGGACGAGTTCTAAGAGTCATTGAGTGTAAAGAATGTGAAAGTAGCTACCTCTAACACCATGTAACTGCACAAGTTAAAGATAAATTGACGGGTGAGAAAGTCCCAATTGATAAGTACTGGTCCTTTAACTCATTAACCCGGAAACGGACACTTTATCTCCTGAAGGCAATAAAACAAATCCCAAGAAAAGATATGGCTACCTGATTGGGAAGGAACTC